TTGTGTTGTTTAGATTCAGAGTTTCTGTTTTGTTGGTTTCTATCTCTGTTGAATTTCTAGTTTTTTTCATGTAACAATTTTCTGATTTTGTTGTCTGTTGAGAAGTCTGTCCTTTCCCAGTTTTGCCTTCTATGACTTCAGCTTCCTGTGGTCACTTGCAGTCTAAAAATGGTAAATGAAAAATTCCAGAAATAAGTAATTCATAAGATTTAAATTGCATGCCATTGTGAGAAGAGCAATGAAATCTTCGGTGGTCTCACTGCATCCCTCCTGGGACATGAATCATCTCTTTATCCAGTATGTGCATGCCATAGACACAACCCACCCATTAGTTGCTTAGCAGTCATATCAGTTATCAGGGTCACTGTCTCAGTAGCCTGATAGTGCTTTTGTTTAAGTAACCCTTATTTTATGAAATAATGTCTTCAAAGTGCAGAGTAGTGATGCCAACAGTTTGGCAATGCCAAAGAGAAGCTATAAAGTGTTTCTTCTAAGTGAAAATGTGAAAGTCTCAACTTAAAAAGGAAAGAAAAAATGTGTACTGAGATTTTTAATTTGTATGATATGAACAAATTTCCTATCTGTGAAACTGTGAAGAAGGGAAAAATTGTGCATAGTTTATATAGGGTTTGATACTATCCTCAGTTTCAGGCATCCACTGGGGATTGTGCACTGTATCCTGTATGAGTAAAATGGGACTACTGTATTCTCTTGTAGCTAACTGAACTTGTTTAAGATGATTTTGTATTTTTGTTAGGCAGTTTGAAGATCTTCATTTCTTTGGGATTGGTTGCTGGTGTTTTATTCTCTTAGTGTGTCATGTTTCCCTGATCATTTATGTTCCTTATGGCCTTAGTTTCTGTGCATTTGAAGAAGTAAGCATTTCTTCCAGACTTTATAGCCTGGCTTTGACAAGGGATTCCATTTACTTAATGAGTCTATGCAGAGACTTTTGGTAGGGTCTCTGGTGGGATTCATTAGTGGACTTTATTGCTGGTGCCTTTTTGGGAGGTGGCCTTGTGATGGGTTCAGCAGGTGGCCTTAGTTGATATCTGGGCCCCAGAGGCTAGCCTGTTGTCTGGGTTTATGAATTTGAGCCTGGAGCCTGATTTCACTGGGACAGACATTGACTTTGAGTCTTCATGGGGGCCCTGGATCCTGGCTCCTCTGGGGCTTGCCTGGCACCAGGGTCTACTGGTGTGGGCCAAGTTGATTGGGTCTGCAAGTGTGTCCCTGGTGCCTGGGTTCTTAGTGGTAGGCTTGGAGCTTATGTCCATAGGAGCTGGTCTGGCTCTGTCATGAGACTTGAGCCTAAGTCTGCTGGGGTCTGCCTGGTGCTGGGATGGGCCTGGTACATGGGCCTAAGGGGAAGGCCTGGAGCCTGTGCTTAGAGGGGCCAGTCTGGTACCGAGGTGCACCTGAAACCTGAGTTCCTGGAGGTGGGCCTGGTGCCTGCATCTGTGGGGGCTGGCCTGTATATTGGGTCCTTTGGGGACGGTCCTGGCGTCTGGGTATGTACAATTAATATTTAATGTAACATATTTCCCCTAACTTACTGGCTTAAAACAACATTTTGTTTGGCAGTTTCTGTGGTTTGAGTGACAGGTATGGCTTATCTGGGCCCTTTGGCTCTGGGTCACTTGCAGGCTGCATTCTTCTCAAGGCTTGACTGGAATGAGTCAGCTTTCTGGCTTATGAAGCCATTGTCAGGGTTCAGTTCCCTGTAGATTATTGGACTTGAGAATTCAGTTTGTCACGACCTGTTGGTCAAAGGCTTCTTTCGTTTCTTTGATATGTGACCTCTATGTAGAGCATCTCATAACGTGGCAGCTTGCTTTATTAGAACAAGCAGACAAGAAGGTGACCGGCAAGAAAGAAGATGCTAGCAAATTGGAAGCCAGTTTTTTGCAACCTAACAATAGAAGTGACATCCCATCACTTTTGCAGTGTTTTATTAATTGGAAGAAAGCCCCTAGGCCTAGAAGCAAGGATCACTGGTACCTATGTCAGAAGTTGTATAAGAGAAACATTAATATCAAAATTAAAGATAAAACTATCAAATGATCCAGCAATCCCACTTCTGAATACAAGTGGGATTGCTGAATCATTTGGTAGTTTTATCCTTAATTTTGATATTAATGTTAAAGGAAATCAGTGTTTTGAAGAGACACCTGCACACCCATGTTCATTGCAACATTATTCACAATAGTCAAGATATGAAAACAATTTAAGTATCTATTGACCAAAGAACAGATAAAGAAACACACACACACACACACACACACACACACACGCACGCACAAACACCCACACACACGTATATACACTCAATGGAATATTGTTCAACTTTAAAAAAGAAGGAAATCCTGTCATTTGCAACAACAAATGGATGAACCTGAAGGACATTATGCTAAATGAAGTAAGGCAGATACAAAAATATAAATACTGCCGGGTGCGGTGGCTTAAGCCTGTAATCCCAGCACTTTGGGAGGCGGAGTCAGGTGAATCTCAAGGTCAGGAGATCGAGCCGTACTGGCCAACGTGGTGAAACCCTGTCTCTACTAAAAATACAAAAATTAGCTAGGCGTGGTGGCGTGTGCCTGTAGCCTCAGCTGTTCAGTAGGCTGAGGCAGGAGAATTGCTTGAGTTCGGGAGGCAGAGGCTGCGGTGAGCCGAGATTGCGCCACTGCACTCCCTCCTGGGCAATAGAGCAAGACTCCATCTCAAATAAATAAATAAATAAGTAAATACTGCAATATCTCATACGTGAACTATAAAAAGTCTAGTTCATAGAAGCAGAGAGTGGAATGGTGGTTGCAAGGGGCAGGACAAGGTTGGGGATGGGTCAGGAAAATGGGATTATATAGGTCAAAGGGTACAAAGTTTCCTTTATATAGGATGAATGAGTTCTAGAGAGCTAACGTACAGAATGATGACTATAGTATTTGCAAAAATAATGTTAGCTAAGTAAAATGATAGATATGTAAATTAGCTTGACTATAGTTATTATTGCACAATATATATGTATATTAACACATGAAATTATGTTTCAATAAAACTATTACTTAGAAGGAATTGAAGGCTGGGCATGGTGGCTCATGCCTGTTATCCCCGCACTTTGGGAGGTTGAGGCGGGCGGATCGCTTGAGATCAGGAGTTCAAGACCAGCCTGGCCAACATGGTGAAAACACATCTCTCCTAAAAATACAAAAATTAGCCAGACATGGTAGCAGGTACCTGTAATCCCAACTACTAGGAAGACTGAGGCAGGAAAATCTCTTGAACTTGAGAGATGAGGGTTGCAGTGAGCTGAGATCACACCACTCCACTCCAGCCTGGGTGACAGTGAGACTGTCTCAAAAAAAAAAAAATAAATTGAGAAGCAATCTTTCAAATATAGTAACTCTGTATTGTCATGTGTATTAGCTATGGTGGCAAAGTTGCTGATGTTTAAATAATTTTGGATATTTATTTCAGTATGTGGTTATTTGGACTGCTTTCCTTTTGATAGGATTCTAATAAGACCAGCCTTCTTTTCTGAAATGTAGAAGTCATTCAACTCATTGAATTTAATCAGAGAAATTTTAACTACTTATTCATTGTCAATCTTCACTAGATAGCTATTTGAAGGCAGAGTCTGGGGATACAGTGTAAATCGGGGCTCCCCCAAAACTTAACTACTAATAGCCTACTATTGACAGGAAGCCTTAACAATAGCATCATAGATTAACACATATTTTGTATATGTGTTATATATTGTATTCTTACAGTAAACTAAAGAAAAAAGTGTCTTTAAGAAAATTATAAGGAAGAGAAAATGCATTTATCATTTTTAAATGGAAGTTGATCATCATAAAGGTCTTCATCCTTCACATTGAGTAGACTGAGGAAGAATTGGTCTTGCTATCTCAGCAGTGGTAGATGCAGAAGAAAATCCACTTAGAAGTAAACCTTTGCGGTTAAAATTCCTGCTGTTCAAGGGTAAACTAAACTTTTGCTCTGCCTAAGTAAACTTGTGTTTATTTTTTAAAAACTGTATTGAGCTATAATATACCATAAAATTAATGCTTTAAGTGTACAATTTAATGACTTTCTTTTTTTTTTTTTTCTGTACATTTACTGAGTTATCCAGCCACCTCCATAATTGAGTTTAGAATATTTGTACGACCACAGTAACATTGCTTGTCAGGACTTTTCTTGACTCTTTGTCATATAAATAATTGGTGACAAAAGATTTCTTATAATGGAATTGTTTATTGCTTCTCTTATATGAATACAAATGTCTTCTCTGTCCTCCTGTACCAAATATAGACATTGTAAATTTTATTTAGTGGGCTGTATAATGATATACATGAGATGTGTTTGAATTTATGCAACTCTTAGTAAGGAAAATTTTATGTCAGAAAGAAAAATTCTTTCAAGTTTATTTTAGTGAGTTCGAATTAAACATTTTTTCAGTGTGACTTTAGTTTTTGATCTTTTACAGCTTATTTTTAGGAGTAGAAAAGATTCACAAGCTAATGTAAAGCCCTCTTAATTATTTACTACAAATAAACATCAATACCTTCATATGCAGGTCATGCTCATGTATAATAAAATAGAAAAGAACTAATTAGATAGAACAATTTATCATTAATTGGCTAACAAATACAATTTTTAGCAAAATTGGTATTTACATTCTAACTCACCAGAGGGCACCCTTTTCTAGTGTATTACTTGTAAGTCCAATCAACTGAATTATATCATACTTCAGAGAATTTGAGGCAATTATTGGGATCCAATTGTAGATTATTCGGACAGCAATGATGACTTTCTTTTGTAACTTTGAGTATGTTTTTGGCCAGCTATTTCACGTTAGTGTTATTAGAAAGGGGCTTGCAAACAAAACAGCCTTAAATGCTTTAAACAGTAGTGTATCTGGTATAAAACTGTCTTCTCAATTTAGTCTGTTTTTGCTTGCTCGTTCTATAATGCTTCTGTTTCTCTGAACTCTTATTAAGGTTTCAGATCGGGTAGAGCGGCGGCTTCAGGAACTAGAGAGAGAGATGCGTACAGAAAGGGAGTTGGTGGAAAGACGCCAGGATCAACTGGGACTCATGTCCCTGCAGCTACAGGAGGTTTGTGAAAAACACTTTGACGGGATGTAAATCTTGAATTTGGATATTTATTTAGGCATGTTAAAATGGTTATTGCATGTGACAGTATAATTCAACACATCAGAGAAGTATTAATATAACGTACTGGTTATAGTTCAGTATATAGAATTAGAACTCCCGGGTTTCATACTCGCTCTCCATGTGACCTTAATTAGGCAAGTTTCTTAACTTCTCTAGGTGCTACTTTTGTCTGTGGAAAATGGAAATAGTAATAGTATCAATGATACCTCATTAGATTAGTGCAAGAATAAATGAATAATGGTAGTAAAGCACTTACCATAGTGTCTGTCATATGCTCAGGAAATGTTAACTGAAAGTATAATTATTATGATTAATTTTTCTGGGCATAGACTGGGCCAGAAAAATTAATCATCAAACTATGGCTCTCAGGTCAAATCTGGCCCACTGTCTATTTTTGTAAATAAAGTTTTATTGGGGCACACCACTCCTATTCATTTATATATTATCTGTGGGTGCTTTTGTGACATAATGGCAGAGCTGAGTAGTTGTAGCCCACGAGTAAATATGGCCCACAAAGTTTAAAGTTTTAGCAGTTTGGCCCTTTACAGAAAAAGTGTTACAACTCTTGAATTAGGTTGTTATCAAACCAGTTCAAAATGGAGAATAGTTACCCTTTAGGTACTCTTTTTAATTTGAAACTTCAGAGGTAGATAAAGTTGAAAATTCAGAGTAAAGAATTTCTGTATAACCTTTACCTAGATCCCCTTATTCATATTTTACCAGACTTGCTTTGTCATGTATTCTAGATACATCCACATATATGTAACTTTTTTGTGAAACATTTTCAATTAGTAGATGTGATATAAATACTTGTCTATCAGCTGATTAAAAAACCATTTTTCATCTAAATAATTTGATATGTATGTTTTCTTTTATAGTCACAGTACAAAATCAAAATTAGGAAATTAAAATCAATAAAATACTATGGTTTAATCTATAGGTTTTATTCAAATTTTGCTACTATAATAGTGTTCTTTCCTGGTCCAGGATAAAATATAGGTTCACACATAGCATTTAGCTGTCATGTCTCTTTAGTTTCTTCTAATCTTGAACAGTTTTTTAGTCATCACGAGTGATGACTTCTCAGGGTGCGAACAATTTCTTCTGTAGAATGGCTTTCATTTTGGGTTTCTTGATGTTTCTTCATGACTAGATTCATTCAGGTTATGGACTTTTGGCTTGAAACTTGGGTAACTGGAGTTACATCCTTCCCATAGTATCGTTATCAGGAGTCATATAATGGTTTGTTACGTTACTGGTAAAGACTGAGCACTTGGTTGTGGTGTTGCCTACCAGGTGGGTTTATCCACTGTAAAGTTACAATTATTCTTTTTAAATTGTTTATTTTATAGGGCATCTCTTTGGGACTTGAACATATCCCGTTTCTAGCATACGTTTGCTCACTAATTTTAGCATCCATTATTGACTCATCTGAAACAATTACTCCTATAAGTAGTGCCAGATAGTGATTAAAAAAATTTTTATTATTCCTTCTACATTTATAAAATCCTACTGTAAGAAAGAACTTCTTGTTGTGTGCACTTATGGATTCTTATTTTATTATATCGGTTATATTTTGTTACTATCATTTTAGAAAAATTAATTTGTTGAAATTCTTTTAAATGTTTGTTTGGTCTGTATATAAAATATAAAAAGTAGAAACAAGAAACCCAAAAAGTTCAAAACAAATGGAAATTCTTTTCATTTATGAAATGATTTTTCTAAGAATTCTAAAAATACACTTACATGTGTTTGCAGATTGTTAACCTTTATAAATTGACAGATTTTTTAAAGTTTTTTTCACTGTTAATTGAAAATTAGGAACAAAAATTACAACACTAAAATTTAATGTAAGCTGATAGAAAAATCTGCTTTTGTTTTCTGAAATTCCATTTCCTTCCATTTCACAGAAGAAGACATACCCTTGTAAGTCGGTAATTACTTTGAAGAGGCTATGTTGTTGAATAATTAGATACAGCATGTGGGTAGGCTTTTTTTTTTTTAACCTTGATTTTTATACATTTGTTCTCAAAGCAAATTACATCTGGTGAGCATAAAAATAGTACTAAAGAGACAATTGTTCTTTTCTGCAAGGGAAAATTAGAGAAATTTTCTGTACTTATTTTCTTCTCTCTTTGCAGAATGCACAAAATTACAAAGAAACAGGGAGGGGAAGATTGCTTCCCACCCGGTTTTCTTAAGACACCAGAGCCTGGGTATTTGCATTGTAATTGTCAATTTGACTAAAAGCTTGAGCTGTGATTTGGATTCCATCTCTGACAATAGAATAGGAGATCACGATTGATAAGAACTGTTTAATTTCGTATTTTGTCACTTTAATATAAGCAGTGACCTATACGTTTTTAAAAAGTGGTTTTAGATTATAAACAGGGTAGTGGAAGCTAGGAAAGATTAAGCTGCTGTATTTTCCTGCTCCCATGTTAAATGGCTTAGACTGTTCTGGAAAGGTCATGTTTAAGGAGAGGAAACACTTTTCCTTCTTTTTGATTATTAAAACGGAAATTTCTATACCATGTGATAATAGTAATTGATGCATTTTTTCCTGTTTATGGTGAGAAATTAAATTTCCTGTTTATAGGTGAGCAGCTGGGCCTGAACTTTTAGCCGCTGTGCTCTTTTGCCTTCTTAAAATATATGTTAATGAAAAATATGACATTTAAAACTTAAGACATTAAGAGTTTTCTTTAGAAATTACAGAATGCAGAGATTTGAAGATATATTATAGGGAGGCAGTCTGTAGTTTTGGCTAAAACCTGCTGCTTTTTAGTTATCTCGTGGGTCCTGAGGTCCTCAGAGCTTTACTTATTCCCATTTAATGAAAAAATACGGTGTTAATCATTGGAAATTGGTCAAGGGAAAGGCATTTTCCTTTTCTTTAGAGTTTTTGAAGAATTGTTCACTCATTTCTGTTGCTTATTCTGATTTGAACAAAAGGGCCATGCACGCCCAGGAATCCATTTCCATTTTTGAGCCTCAGCTACTCATGTGCTATTGAAGCCACATGAATGCCAGATTTTCTTTATTTGGTAAGGACCTTCATATATTGTATTTTAAACAACCTAGTTTTTATATCTCATAGAGGCCTCTTCTTTAAGAGAGATGAATGTTTTATGTGGGTTGTATGACATTATTCTATTAATATTATCTTTTTAAAATTATAGATGATACTTTGAACTTTACTAATTATATTCTTTTTTTTAATTTTATTTTAAAATTTTTTTGGTGACAGGATCACTCTGTTGCCCAGGAGTACAGTGGCATGATCTTGGCTCACTACAGCCTCAAGTTCCTGGGTTCAAGCAATTCTCCCACCTCAGCTTCCCTAGTAGCTGGGACTACAGGCAGGCACCACCACGCCCAGCTAATTTTTGTTTGTTTTGTTTGTTTGTTTGTTTGTTTGTATATTTGGTAGAGATGGGCTTTTACCATTTTGTCCAGCCTGGTCTCAAACCCCTAACCTCAAGTGATTTGCCCACCTTGGCCTCCTGAAGTGCTGGGATTATAGGAGGGAGCCACACCTGACCTACATTCAAGTATTGTTATGCCTATAACCATCAGCCTTTTTCTTTGTACACAATAAAGTATATAACATTGAAGTAAATTATCATATTATAAACTCTGTTTGATTAGGTGCTTGGTAGTATCCTGGCTTGATTGGTTAGTTTAAGTGGAGTTGGGGTAGGCTTGGTGGGTGCTAGTGTTGGGAAAGAGGGATTTAGACTGAATACAACCCAAAACCACTTTTTTGAAGGTCCAATATTTACATAAAATCCTAGATAAAATTTTAAGTTTCCGGTTTTGCATCCTAAAAACTCCTGACTCATTTTTTACTGGGTATTTTATGTACATTGAATATAATTTCTTCATCTTCAGCTGAATTACTTAAAATGGAAAACATGGCTGGGCATGGTGACTCATGCCTGTAATCCCAGCACTTTGGGAGGCTGAGGTAGGTGGGTCACTTGAGGCCAGAAATTCGAGACCAACCTTACCAACATGGTGAAACCCCATCTCTACTAAAAATACAACAACAAAAAAGTTAATCAGCGTGGTAACACACACCTGTAATCCTCGCTACTGCTTTAACTCGGGAGGCAGAGGTTGTAGTGAGCTGGAATCATGCCACTGTACTCCACCAGCCTGGGTGACAGAGTGACATCCTGGCTCAAAAAAGAAAAGAAAAACATGAGATAAATGCTGGAGACCCATACACATACATGCTCACACTCTTCAGAGCATTTTTTTTGAGATAGAGTCACACTCTCCCAGGCTGGAATGCAGTGGTGTTATCATGGCTCACTCGGTCTCAACCTCGCAGACTCAAGCAGTTCTTTCACCTCAGCCTCCCAAGCAGCTGGAACTACAGGGGCACGCCACTACACCCAGCTAATTTTTGTATTTTTTGTAAAGACAGGTTTTGCTATGTTGCCCAGACTGGTGTCAGACTCCTGGACTCAAGTGATCTGCCTGTCTCAGCTCCCAAAGTGCTGGGATGACAGGTGTGAGCCACTACGGCTGGCCCTCTTCAGAGTATTTGATAGCATATTAAGTTGCTAGTTTCTCCCTTATCTGCATTAACAATATTCTATGCTTACATATGATGTAGATGCCTTTAAATTAAAAGATGTTTCATGGGGACGTCTCTGGGATAGGAAAGTGCATGGAATCTTAATAGATGATGGTGAAGATTGAGTGAGAAATTAAGTGTTGAAGGTAGGAGCTCAGCTTAGTGACTTTTAGTCTGTCTGAGGGACAACCAGGTTATGTGAACCTCATCAATAAAATAAGGCCATATTAAGAAAAATTGATACTTTTTTTTAAACATTTTTCTTTATCTTTTTTTTTTTTTTTTGGTAAGACCTAATGAAGAAATAGCTATTCATTTTTGTCCAGAAATGTAACTGTGGCTCCAGAGAATC